CATAAGTTTATTTATATGAATTTATATTTCTGACGTAAGTATATCTTTTTAAAGAAAATAACAAGCAGTTGCTTCATACACATTTTTATAAAGACAATGGGATTAGGAAACAAATAATCTGGAAATTTGAAACAAATTTTAGGAAGAGTATGTTTTTCACTTGGCTAAGTATTTGATAAAATTCTGTGCTTAACACAAGTCAGCATGTGGGGGACTGAGCTAAATAGAGAATTCTCAATAGAGGAGTCTAAAATGGCTGAGAGACACTTAAGAAAGTGCTCAACATCCTTAGCCATTAGGGAAATGCAAATCAAAACAACCCTGAGATATCATCTTACTCCTGTCAGAATGGCTAAAATCAAAATCACCAAAGACAGCTTATGCTGGAGAGGATGTAGAGAAAGGGGAACACTGGTCCATTGCTGGTGGGAGTGCAAACTGGTACAGCCACTTTGGAAATCAGTATGGAGATTCCTCAGAAAAATGGGAATCAGTCTACCACACGACCCAGCAATTCTACTATTAGGCATATACCCAAAAGATGCACATTCATACAACATGGATGTCTGTTCTACTGTGTACTGTGTTCATAGCAGCATTATTTGTAATAGCTAGATCCTGGAAGCAACCTAAATGCCCCACAACTGAAGAATGGGTAGAGAAAATGTGGCGCATTTACACAATGGAGTACTACTCATTGTGTACAATGCAATATTGAAATTTGCAAGCAAATGGACAGCCATGAGTGGGGTAACCCAGGCACAAAAAGACAAGCATGGTATGTACTCACTCATATATAGATTTTAGACATGGATCAGGGGAGTGTCAGCCTACAATTGCAGGGCCAGTGAGTCTGGGAAACAGGGAGGTTCCCAAGAGATATGCATTATACCCCAGAGAAGTGGAAAGAGGCAAAATCTCCTGAGCAGATTGGGAACATGGGGGGAAGGGAGAGGGAGGCAGGGAAAAGAGAGGGGGATAAGAGGAAGGTAGAAGAAGACATGGGGGAGCAGGAATGTTGAGTCGGGGTAAGAATAGAGAAGACCAGGATGAGAGATACCATAATAGATGGAGTCATTATAGCTTTGAGGAGATAGCTGACACTAGTGAGATCTCCAGAGATCTACAAGGATAACACCAACTGGAAAACTACATTAATAGCCCCTACCTGATGATAAGGTTGATGACTACCTTATATGATATCCTAGAACCTTCATCCAGTGATTGATTGAAGCAGAGACAAATACTCACAGCTAAACACTGAGCTGACCCCCTGAACCCAGTGACAGAAATGGAGGAGTTATTAGCAAAGGGGTCGACCATGCTGGTGAAACCCACAAAGACAGCTGACTGGACAAGGGGGAGCTCTTGAACCCCAGACTGATGATTAAGAGACCAACAGGAGACTGATCCAGATTCCATGAATGTAGTGTCAGTGAGAAGGCCTCAGAAATCTCTGGGGCCTTGGGTGGTTGTAGGAGTGAACCCCACAAAGCTATCCACCCATGAGGGCAGGGACATGTAAACTGACACAGGTAGATATAAAAGGAAGTGAAAGGAAAAGGAACTTCCCCTTTTTCTCCTGGAAGCCAGCCACACTTCTAACTCCTGGTTTGTGCGACTCTCTCTCTCTCTCTGGTAAATAAATATATTGCTTTCCATATAGCATCGAATATCATTAATAGGCAGTAGATTAGTGTTCACCATAGCATACAAATAAACTTTGGGAGTCCATTGCACATGGAGGGATGCTCTCTCAGCCTGGACACATGGGAAAGAGACTAGGTCCTGCCCTGGATGAAATGGCAGACTCTGGAGATCCCCTCCAGGAGGGCCTTCCCCTCCCTGGGGAATAATGTGGGGATTGGGCTGGGGGTGGGTGTGGTGGGGCTGGTGGAGGGACAAGTGGGGGGGGAGCTGGGATTGACAATTGAAGCATGCATGTTTCTAATTTAAATAAAAAATAGTTGAAAAAAAAACAAGTCAGCATCGGATATTGTGATTTATTTCTCAAAAATAATATATAATCCAAATAGTGATTCATCCTAACTGTTATAAAGATGTGAATTGTATATATCTAAAACCTGAATAAAAGCCTTTATCATTTATATCTAGATTACCCACTGAAATCACTACATTTTGTCTACTGCTGTGTTGTTTTCTTTTACCTTTCTTTTCTTTTTTTTTCTGTTTTGTAGTGTCCTATTTTCCTGTTTTGTTTGCAATGATCTGCTGTTTTCTCTGTATTATTCTCCATTTTATGCTTATGTGATAAATTTGGCAGTTTCTGTAATTAAATACGATGTTACTTCTGTATATAACCATCATAAGGAATAGATATTATTTTAACTTTTCTTTCTAAGGCAAGAGGACAGCGTGGGCATATTAGAAGAGGCCTGAGGTCTAAAAAGCATCATTGTACACTAAATTTAGACAATTGGGAAATAAGACTAAAATAAAGTGTGTGTGTGTGCATTAGTGTGTGTGTGTGTGCATTAGTGTGAATGCAGCTGAGTATACTTTTGGGGTCACATAGAGATCAGAACTCCATGTCACGTGCCTTTCACAATTACTCTGTGCCTTAAGATAAGCAATCAGTTCATCAGTTCTCCTTGACTGGCTTGACTAAAGAGTCTCCCTGTCTCCAGCTTCACAGTGCTGGGGTACTGACTTTTATGTTTTCAACCTGTGTTCTGAGGATGGAACTTAGGTCATCATGCTTGTACAACAGGTGAGAACTTACAGACTGAGCTGTCTCCCAGTCTCTAGGAAGAGGAGTTTCATTTATGCAGGTAGCCTTCACAATGGCAGCACATGGGAGAAATGAGTGGATGAAATGAGAATGGGAAAGTTGAGTTCATCAAATTTTCATCTATTTTGATGGTTAAACTATTCTTTAATTAACATAAAAGTTGCACATGCTTGTGGAATACTGTTATGTTTAAATTCATGGATTTTATATGTTATATATAATGTTCAAACTGGGGCTATAATAGTTATCTTCTAAAACATTTACCATATTCAAAAATGTCATTTTATTCAAGTTATTTAAAAATACACAGTACATCTTCACTGTTTAAAGCCTAATTTTAGGCATCATTTCACTACTTTTTTTAAGCAATTAAAGAAGAAATCAAAATTATTCCCCAGATTAAAATAAACAATTTGAATTATTGAAAAGAAGAATCACGGATAAAATCAAATTAACTGACAATGATTTCTGGTAGCCTACAAACAAGAGAAATCACTTACCAGTCACATGTGCCAAATCACCATGTATTTACAGGAAAACTGAATATGTGAGATACAGGGAGTGTGGAGTGCATTGTCCATCATTATTGATGAGACTGCACTGACATAACATCTTCACCATGGCTGACAACATCAGCACACACAGCTATTGTCTTCAGCTAGCCTGTACTATAAGGAGCCACAGAGATTCTCGGAATATTGTTTGATGCTGATTGAGAAACTTTTATCCTGCGTGAGAATCTAAAGTATGCATTCTTCAGTAGGAACTGTCCCATGATCATAAAGATTACATAAGGTAAAAATATTTCATATACTAATATTTTACACATAAGTAGAAGATCCTATAAATTTTAACTAATGTTCTGATACACACTCACATATATATGTATATATATGATGTATATATATATATATATAGAGAGAGAGAGAGAGAGAGAGAGTGAGAGAGAGAGACAAAGGAACCAACATATGGTCTTTTAGAGGCTATTGTGTGACATCTAGGTTGCAATAGAGAGTCTGTAGTGTTAGAGAGTCAAGGAATGTGTTATGTTCACCAAAGAGAGGTATGGACATGGAGTAAGGCAGACAAAGAAAGAAACTATGCCTGCTGCGGGTAGCAGAATTGACGTGATGGGGCTATTCATGCTGATGATTTTAGACTTGTTTCACTCCAATTATTCCTTTCTATGCTTAGATTCTCCTATTTTAGAATGCTCATATATTCGAATGCTTGGTCAGCAAAGAGTTGGACTATTTGAAAGGATTAGAAGGATTAGGATGTATGGCTTTGTTGAAGTAGATATGACCTTCCTGGAGAAAGTGTGTCACTGGGGATGGGCTTTGAGGTTTCAAAAGCCAATTCCAGGCCCAAGTCCCCTCTCTCTCTCTCTCTCTCTCTCTCTCTCTCTCTCTCTCTCTCTCTCTCTCTCTCTCTCTCTGCCTACATATGAAGATGTAGTTCTCAACTACTGCTCTGACACCTGCCTTGTTCCACATCATGGTAATGGGCTAAACATCTGAAACTGTAAGCCAGCCTCAATTGAATTCTTCCTTTCATAAAAGTTGCCTTGGTCATGGTGTCTCTTCACAGAAATAGAGCAATGACTAAGAAAGATACTCAAAGTAAGAATATTTTACAATTTTGAAACAATTAAAAATTCTAAAGAGTATGAAGATTTTTAAAGTTGGACTGGTGCATTTTACAGTATAATGTGCTCACGAGCCTACGAGGGCAAGGGAAGAATACAGTTTGATACATTTAGATGTCAAGATGACAAGGATCAGAATTATGATTGTTACCACTGTCAACTTGATAGACTATAGAATCTCCCAGGGGATAAGCCTCTGAGATTGCCTATAAGCGATTATTTTGATGATGTTAATTGAGGTGAGATTTGCCTGTTCTAGGTGACATCATTCTCTAACTGGGATCATGGACTATATAAATGGAGAAAGGGAATTGAGCTTCAAGAAGCATTCGTTTCTTCATTGCTTTAATGTCTTTTCCCCCTTGTACTGCCTGCAATGTGACTGAATGTCTGGATTCCACACCATGGTAGACTGCACACTTGAACCACAAGCCAGAGTATACTTTGTCCCTTAAAGTACTTTTTTCAGGTTATTTTATCAAAGCAAGAAAAAAGACATTTAAAAAGTGATATTTTAAAGAAATATTCTAAAGAGAAAAAATTTGAGATATCTTAGCCAAATTACTTTTATGAATTTATTTTTATGTATGTCTAGAACATGTAAAAACATTAAAACCGAAATAAGCATTTCAAAAAAGATGAGGTAGACATTATAAGTAATTATTCAGCATGTATTACAAATACGGGTAAATGCTATTGTTTCCTTAGCAGTGGATAAAAGCACCAGCACATTTTATAATCTATAAATTTCATATAAAACTTCAGTTCTTATAATCTAGCAAATTCTCTGTTTTAGCTTCGTCAAAGGAAGAGAACAGGTTTAGAAGGAAAAATAGACTGTCAGGTGTTAGTCTCATGTTAAATATAATTAGATATTTGGCAAGTTGAATTCTATCACTCTACAAATTCCAGTATTTGAACCCCCAAAGCACAGTCTATTAATAGGTAAGGTGAAGGAAGAGAGAGGAAGTGTGAACTTAGTTGTCTAGGTCAGCAGGAATCAGCAACAATGCAGCAGGCTGATGGAGTTCAGAGGCTGGGTGCTGGCCAAGTGAAGTATGTGGAGTGCTCCATGGTTCAACACCTGGCTTAAAAAAACAAAATCAGTATAATTGTTGCAAAGGTTCTTGGAGAAACAAAGAGTAAAGGATGTGCCCTCTGAGTCCAGAGAGATGAGCAGACCAAGAGAATGTCCCAGAATCAATCTGCTGCCTTTAAAGAATGTAGGCAGTGCCCAAAGGGAAGGTGAACATCAGAAAGGAACTCACAAGGCATCTTTGACTCTTTTCTTTCCATTCTCTTGTCACTTAACACTGCTTCCAATTTGTTTAATTAAAAGGCTGTGAACAGTTTGCAGTGAAAGAACCCTCTGGAAAACAAAGTGAGGTTGGGGAAAGAGAGAAAGGAGAAGAGAAAGGCAAAGAGAGGGCAAAAGAGAAAAATATGTTTAAAGGCAAACCAATACAATCTACAATCACATGCACTTTCATTAAGACAATAATAAAAATATTTAATCTTCAGCCTCCCTCCAAAGCTCACTGGCTAACGTGTACATTTGCATGTTTTCCATGAGAAGACATTAAAAGATTCCCCACCACCGCAAAGAGAAAATGTCATCGAATCCAAACTACTTGAATGCATTCCAAGGTAACACTTCGAAAATGAAAATGAAAAATAAAACTATTGCCCCCAGCCTCCAATACAATGCTCCAAATATTCTAGGAGCAAAGATTTTGATCATCATCTAAAAAAAAGACTTAAGCGAAATTTTTGTTGAACATAGACTCCGGAGTAAAAAGAGATCAGTTTATTCCCAGAAATGATCAAACACTTTATACCACAAAGGAGCTGACCACACTAACACTATGGGAGATATTCAAGATGCTTTGACCTTGGCTAATACAAGATACAAGACAAAGACATTAATAATGAGATTTAGGGAAACCTAAAGACGATTTCTTCTATTATTTTATTTTTTCTCTTCATAATTCTCTTAGCTTCTGTGCCTCTCTGGCTCCTTTCTGACCTACCCTCATAACAACAATTCTAAGAATACGACCTTCCAACTGGAGCAAGAATCTGTAAATTTGAGTAAAAAACAGTCAAGACTATTATTTATTCACATTCACAATTCAGTTTGAAGTCATAAAAGCAATAACTGACATTTCTGGGGTCAGAAACTACATGACTTCCTCTAGATTTTGTTCCTATTGTTTTTCAAAAAAAAAAGAAGAAGAAGAAAGAAAGAAAGAAAGAAAGAAAGAAAGAAAGAAAGAAAGAAAAGAAACACAAGCCAAACAGGTAGTCATAGTGTGTGTACAGATAAAATTACAGGACAAAAGACAAAGGTCGTGGGTCCTTCCCACCATGGATCCATCAAGTTTCTGCACACTGCAGTGCAGCCCCAGAAAGGATGAGTGGCAGCTTCTGTTGAGGAGCCGGCATTTGGTAGTCATGCTAAGCTATCTTCAGAGACTGGGATAGGCCAGATATCTATTTTCTCTCTAGGATATTAAATTTCTGAGACCATACGAAATGGAAAGCATTTCATTAGAATGTGTGTTTATTTATAAATGGTCGTTACTATCACGTTTCCTGATAATAAATATTGTATTGGACTTTTGTTTGGGAAGGGGGTAAATATTCTTCGTTTCTACCCATTTATTATTCCTGCATCAGTGATGCATTTATTCAAAAGGTTTACAATCTGAGCTCCTTCTAAGCCATCCCTTGGAATTTTATTATTACAGTGAAAGGAGACAATAAAAAGTATTCTATAAGAAAAACAGTGTGGTTAATTATCTGAACATACCCATATTATCTTTTATAAGTAAATTAGAATTTAACTATATACTGTCTTCTGTTAGTATTAATCTAGTATTTTTCTAACATATGCTTCATGTTTTCACTATTTAAAGATGAAGTACAAAATAATATCAGCCCACCAGAGACATAAACTCAAAGAGAAGTATCTATGTGTATCATACAGTATATCACATGGTGATCAGGCACAATACTGACCAAACATGAAGGTAATCAATTTAGGGACTTCTGAGCCCATATTCTGGTTTTCTAAGTAATACTCCATATACAGAATAACCAGCACTGACTAATAACACATTATTTATTTAATGTTTCCAAGTAAACAAATATAAATTTTAAATTCTGTACTTTAATATAAGACTGAAGAGAGCCTAGGGTTCCATCTAATAAATAACTAATAGTACCAGTAGCTCATGTTGATATTAATGGATATCTCAAGTAATCCTTTTTACACTAACAACGTACTTCAAACTTTAAATTTCTTATGAATAAATATGTAATCAACCAAGAAAACTAAAATCTATTGCATGCATGTCTACTATAGACCCAGATCTAGCACATGTGCTAATATATGGCTGATTAATTTGACATGATATCAGAATTAGACTGAAATATACTTGAGAATGGATTTCTTATGATTGTATAAATTCCCTTAAAACAATTAGGAAATAAAAAAACAAAAGTCTATCATCTGAAATTTTCAGAGAACATGACATTTTCTGAACACATGGTTCATCCTAACAAAAGTCTTATGCTCAAGGATTTTCCTATCTATGATGCCACATTGAATATACATATAAATATTTATCCAGCCCTACTGGAAGCATTCTATGGACATGTTCTTTATTTACCTGTGTTGGTTTTCAAAAACAAAAAAAGAAACAAAGAAAAAGCAGAAGCAGCAGCAGCAGCAGCAGCAGCAGCAGCAGCAGAAGAAGAAGAAGAAGAAGAAGAAGAAGAAGAAGAAGAAGAGACAAAAGTGCCTTGCTGTCTTTTCTCTCATATGTATTCAAGAAGGTCCTCATTGTTGTAATGACTAATAATTGAAGAAGCAAAACATAGCCAAAGTAGCAAGTGTACAAACATGAAAACACACATACAAAGAATGTCAATGACAAGACTATACAGACTGTGATTGCACATCCATGGTTAACACAGTGCCTCCCCACTGTTGTTCATGGTGTGTTCTACTTTAGCTGATAATTTTGTAAGAGGTTTTCCCAGCCTAGATTAACTTGATAAAACCTCAGCTTACAAGTTTGATCTGTTAGTTAAAATCAGAATGCAAGAATTAATTTTAACCACAAGCAAACATACAATGAATTTAACTTTCTGCATGTTGCAACAGTTCTAGAACCTGTTTTCTGAAATATTTATTAAGAATCCTTAGAAAAGTAATGGCATATGGACAAATCAGCCATACCCTTGTCTTTGTGTTGTGCTAAAATAGCCCACATTTTGTGATAGTTGTTTTCTTAAAATGACCACAATGTGTGGGTGCAAGTTGCCTTCCTGAGCTTATTAGCCTTAATTTGGAAGTCTTTTGAATTGAAGTCTCTCTCTCTCTCTCTCTCTCTGACTGCCCTCCTGCTCACTCCTTGTGAAACCACACAGGAGTCTTTGCTTTAATTAATTAGGGTATAATTAAACAGCAGGTAGCAGGCAGAAGCTAGAGAGCTGCTTCCATCTGTTCCATGGGGTCTCAGGATGACAGCTAGAGTCCCCTCATGCATTTTACCTTAAGCAGTTTTTGTATTTTAATTTCCAGCTATCTCTTATAAATTGCTCTTATAATTTCACTTGATAATTTAACACTTCAAATTGGAGTCCCTCCAGCATTTACTGCCCTGAAAATATACAAAGAGGGTTATGAAGGGGAAGTGAACATTTAGATCAGCAAACACAATTAAAAGAATATATCATGCACTTATTAATGTGAAGCAGGGGGTAGACACCCTTCCATGATGGTAATCAATTTTAATTTAAAGATACAGGTAATTTAAAAACACAGGAAAGGTTGGTGATGTCTCACAATATGATGATATTAGCTACACAGAGGTTTGGAGTGTTATATTTGTTTCCGGTCTGAACAGAATCCTTGAACTTTCAAAACCAGGAATGTAAGACATTTGCTAAAAATATTGCCTTGAAGTATTTCTAAAACTCCAGAGTAAAACAATTATACTTTGTATTCAAATATTAATATACTTGTTATTTCTTCATTTAAAAAAATCAATCACATTGCTTAAATGAAATTTTAAGTTTCTTGAGGAGCATATAGATACCTATTTAATTCATTCATTTATCTCTACAAGTAGACAGGAATGTTCAACATTTGATCATTACCATTCAATGGACGATTTGATTTCCTTGGCCACTGCATGAGTCTCACTTTGTTCCTTGGTGGCAGTATGTTCATATCTACAGAAGACTGTTTTTTACTTACTGTCAAGATCACAGTGTGGTACTGTTCAGAAGAAAAACTGTTATGTTCAGGTTTGCCTTTAGGTTCCTTATACTAAATAGAAAGAATGGCTTTGATGATGCCATGTGGTGTGCACTATGAAGGGAGAGAGCAAAAAATAAAGGAAATCCATGCATCTGAGTCTGTGACATAGACTTGCTTTATGATAAGCAATGAAAGCATTACAATTATTATAGAAGTAAACATCTCATTGCTTGGGTATGTAATAGGATGCACCATCTTGGTGTGTGATGTTTACAGAAGAAAACAGTGCAATGTGTCTTTTCTCAGTGTGCCTCCTTACTGATCAGGGACCTGTGTCTGTATTTCCCTTCTGTCTTAGCTTTGTGGTACCCCTTTTCCATTTGTAGTTTGAAGGCAGTCTGTCTTCCCTAACTATCTTTCTTATTCAAGAAATTTCCCTAAGATATTTCTAAATATGCTTTCCTACCACGGTGTTGCATTATAACTCTTTGACTTAAAATATGTTCCTGGTTCTGTATAACATGACTCTAGACTTCTAAAGAAAATACCAAGGACAAAGTATTTATTGGGGCCAAGCGTAATTGTCAGATGATAGGTAGTTTCCTCCAATTCTCTAAATTACCTCACTATTTTTAGTCTACCTGACCCTATGCCCAGTACACCCTTCCATCTTAACTCCATTCTCTCAAAAGCACGAGAGACACATGTGCCACAACACAAATGATGCTCCTCTCAAGACAAGCATATCTGGTCTCCACATGCACAACTATTCATCCCCACATTCTAGCAACAAAACTATCAATACCTTTCAGAAATATTTGTGATAAACATCTTTTTAATGCCTTACTTTGCATGACCTAGACAGCAATGCCTGCCTTATGATTATACCCCTCCTAATGCTGAACAAAGCACCTATGAGAAAAGGAACCTTCATTTAATCCACTCACGTTTTTCCTAAATGCTCTAAGAGAGATGTTCTCATGCATATCTTCAAATCCCCCAATTTCTCAGAATTAAATCAATTAATGCGGCCTTTTGGTAATGTTATCTCCTGCTGTAACCTAAAAGAGGGTTGGAGGTTGTTCCTTGTAATTGGATGTGCCAAAAGATCCCGTTGTTCTAATTCTCTGTGGGCAATGCAGACAGCTGGCCAGCTGGCAAGCACCCAGAAATTCTGCTTCTACCTATTAAGTGCTACCCAAACAACCACATCTTACAGATGCCGACACAACTATGACATTTTATTGAACTGGATTGCTTATAGCTGTAAATATATGCAAATAGCTATTTCTTAGGAAATGTATATCAGCCACATTAATTTAGAACTTGGATTTTAGGAATCAAGTTGTTGCGATTACTTTTTAAACTATGCTTCCTAACTTTGATTTAGCTTTTACTCTGTGATTTTAAAGTAACTATTTCATTACATGGGAGGGTCAGTTTATTACTTGATGAGTTTGAATTGCTTTTATTTTTAAAATAGCAAATTCAAAACTTCCATAAGGGATGTCTATACCTTATTAAGCTAAAATAAGTCAGGCATTAAGCAAATAAGTGCCCAAGTCCTAGAGGCAAGTGACTTCAGAATCCAAATGAATTCCACCCTCCGGGAAGGCAAAGCCCTAATTCCCCAGCATGGCTGGAGGAAGCCCCAAGGTTAGATAAAGGAATGGATTTCCACTCCTTTATGCAGGAAACTTCCATGTCGACCATGGAAGACAAATTGCGTTGAATTTCCAAGTGTAAAGATTTTGATTGAAATGAATGAAACTTCTTTCACTACATGTTTCATTGAAGTGTGCATGGCCAGATGAGCATTGAGACAGGACTGGAGCTAACAGTCCACGTAAAGCAACATGTCTTCTTTTTATTTCTGAGGAGTGTTTAAGATCATCAACACATTTAAAAAATACTTAAACACTAAAAATATGAGCAACATAATTATAAAAACTCAACCAAATAAAACAACAATAATGTAATTGCTAGAACTCTCTGTAGAACAGTTTTGCAAATGAATGTTATATAGAGTTTTGTTAGTATTTTTCTTTTTGATTCAGCTGTTTTTCATTTGTCTTGTGAAAGCAGACCCATTTTGATCCCGTTAAGTTTAAAAGTTTATTTTAGAAATTCTTTGAATAAAACTGCCTAATATTTCTTATTTCATAATCAAGACAGTAAGTGTGCAGATTCAGAATTAGCACTGAAGCAGGGCAAAGGTGAGTATTGGGTTCCTGCCATTGTATAATTGCTCAATGTTTACTGTGGTGTTTTCCTGTTACTGTAAAGTGGTGTGGTAGTGGCATCCAGCTACTTGGTGGCAATATGTGATTTTTCAAACACTGACATTAAACAGGTAAAACAGTAATCTAGGCATGGGAGCCCACATTTATAACCCCAACACTCAGGAACCTGAGGCAGAGGCTCACTAGAAGCTCAAAGCCAGCTTAGTCTACATAGCAAGAACCTAGCTCGAAAATAAGAGAAAAAAAAGTTAAGTGAAGATAAATGATATTAAATAAACTTATATTTGCCAATGTTTACATTGTTTTCTTATTTAGGAATGGTAAATGATAAGAGTAGAACTATACCAAAGAGAGTGATAGGCAGCTGGGTGGTGGTGGCGCAAGCCTTTAATCCCAGCACTCAGGAGGCAGAGGCAGGCAGATCTCTGTGAGTTCAAGGCCGGCCTGGACCGACAGCCTCCAAAACAATACAGAGAAACCCTGTCTCGTAAAAAGCAAAAAAAAAGAGAGACAGAGAGAGAGAGAGACAGGCAGGCCCGTGGTCTCTTAGGATCTAGAATGTTAAAGTGAGGAATAGATAGGCAGAAGCAGGGTCTCTGAGGTCTTGTAGCTTTGGGAGTCATGGCCTTACCTTTCATTACTATAATTTTCCGGCTTGCTTCCTCCTCCATGAATGATCAATTAATGAGAAGCAACCTCATTTGACACCTTCTTGAGAACCTTCAAGTAAGTATTTGTGAGTCCTTGGCATGCATCTCAGAATTAACTTTATCTCAAGTCATAATAGACTTTCGCTTCAATTTCTTCTGATAATTATCTGAAAGTAGAACAGGAACAGCGTTAAAACTAAAAGAAGATTCGAGAAGAAAGAAACCACCTGACCATCGCAATCAAAACTCTTAGGATGAAACCATCGCTGTGGCTGGAATTACTGAATTGCTCAATTGTAGCGAAGCCACTTGGCACACGTTGGCTGAGCTTCTCAAGAGAGTTGAACACACATTGAAATCCACCATCCAGTGACCTGATAAACACGACAGCTGAAGCAAACGGTTCCGCTGTGGCTGCGGGAGTCTGTTTGCTCGGCCAAATACAGTCTCAGCAAGATATGCCTGGGAATATTAATTATGGAGACAGGCAAGGAACCAGAGGAAGCACACAGAAAACCCCCAACGAGGAAGCAGTCTTGTTTCCCACAGAGTTCTACAGTGCACACAGACGTTCTCGCGCACCAAGCACAGGCAGGCTTGTCCTCCCGCTGCTTTATGTTAATTAGGGAATAAATAAGTGGCCAACTGTAGTCTGTGGGCATATGTTGGTCAACTGTCTCTGTCTAATTAGGTTGTAAGCCCACTGAGCAGGCGCCTCATTTAAATCCATGTTCTGGAAAGCATTCCGTGCCTCTGCTGAGGTCCAGTGACTGAGAGAAAGGAAGGCAAGAGCTGTTGTTTAATCAGAAAGGAAAAAGAAAATGCTTATGAATCCATGTGGCTAGGTTTATATCTTGCCTAATGCTAATTAAAGACTTTGGGTTAGGAAGGTACTTTTGATAGAGCACTGTCCTGCATGGTACTCAATATGTAGGGCAATACAAATGTATAATTTATAATAAAACTTGTATATAACTTAAAAATGAATTGTATTTAAATTTGTATGTTACTTCTAAGTAATGTGAACAATTTGCAAAGGTAATAAGCATATATGTGCAATGTAATAGTTATTCCCTTAAGTAGCATGTCAGAGTAGAATAATATAGCACAAACTGTAGAGTTGGCATTCGTGTATGAATGTGTTATAGAAATAAATGAATCCCAGCACTTGGAAGACTGAGGCCAGTGGATCAACAGTTAAAGCCTGATCTGGGCTACAGAATGAGGTCCTGCATCAAAATCTAAAATTTATTAATTATCCATGTGTATGTACTTATTTATATATGTGACTGTGGGTATTAAATGATATGTTTCTATCTCCCTAATTAGATAGAATTTTCTATATACTGATAGGTAAAATGACTTACTCTAGTTTGATCTAGACATATTACATATTATATTCTGAGTACTTAGGCAAGAATTTTAGATACATAATTTCATTTGTTCTTTATGACACCTGATTTTTAGTTGCTTTCTAATGCATGTTAGCATTAAAGCCAAACTCATATTTTCTTCCACGGCTCTCTCATGCCACACAATGGAAGCCATCTAGATAAAGGAAGCAGATATCTGTGGATAAAGACGTCCTATAGCAATGACGACCTGTGGTTTGGGTATTCTCCTCTTCTATAACTGTGGAGAATAAAGCCGAATGTTTAAACAAGTCAGTGTATTCACACAGGAAATTCCTTCAGTGACTATGGGAACCAGGGACTCCATGTGTTACATGGCCGTGGGCTGCATGCTCTGCCTCTGAACTGCTTTTGGATAGTGTTCTAATATTACTCTCTGCCTGTTCTTCCCCACTCCTTATAGGACGACTCATTGAGTTCCAGGTTAAAGACTTCTGGAAACAGAGAAATTAAGCACTGTTCCCACCAGTCATCTGCATGGCACACATCTGGCGTATGCTCCCACAGCTGTGAAAAGTGAATGGCCACCTTATCCCCAAGAGTCTGCCTTTGTCTTAGACTCAGGCTGCCTTTCACTCTCCATTTCTCTGATGTACACTCTGCTTCCTTAAAATTGAGTTTGTGACTTCAAGCTTGTCTGAACTGAAATCCTATTTTCATGACTTCCTAAATATAGGGTCACTAACTCAAAGGGCTAATCCCACCCCTGTTGATCTGCTCTCAGGAATTTGAGATTTTTTCAGGTTGAATCTTGGCAGTCTGAACATTCTCTCCATCTACCTGTGATCTCTATCACTGTCTGCTCTCCATCACAATTATGCTCTCTCTCCAATTAGGTAAAGTCTTCTTCAGACTGATAAGTAAAATGATTTACTGCAAATTTAATCTAGATATGCTGTGTATCAAGCACCTACACAAGCACTTCATATGTATAATTTTAGTTTTTCTATATGACATCGTTTCTTTAGATAGCATTGGAACTATACTAAATGTATAAAGGAGTTCCTTGAGAAATGTCACTTGGCTAGTGTTCAGAACAGCTGGGTTATGTCTTTCGTTCGCACTTACTGTTTTGTCATGTAATATATATTTAAAATGTTATTAATATCTGCTTCTTTATGTATTAGAATGTAAATTCTTATCTGACAATGTATTCTTTTTATTCACTTTGTGTCTAAAATAATAAATTCTTTGCTTCTAGCAAGTTATCTCTTTCTCTTTCTCATATAGGTCTTTATATCAATTAGTGAATGATGTATAAACAAAGGTACAACACTGTATTTAAATTTTAAATGTCAGCTTTAATAAAATTAAATGGTTTAAACCATCTAGGATATCTAAAATATCAGGGGTTTCCTGCTTACATAATTTTTTAAACATTATAATGTTGTAAAAGTTAGATGAAATAATGCAGTTTATTGTGAAGTATCTAAATCCAATCTTAGTTATCAATTGCAAATAAATAGAGCATAGACACACTGTGTCTCCAAATGCATCAGTGAAATTTTAATAGAAACAGGCATCAACATGCAGAGGATACAGAAGTGTTAACATACTTTGTTCGCTGGTACTCATATGCAAATCCATGGACACATTGGAGAGAATTCACAAAAATCCTTTGCAAAATAAAAACCCCATGCAGAAATGACTGAATATGAAACATAAAGCCATGAAGCCTAATCACAGGATTTACATTTTTAAAGTCAACTCGACAATACCAAACATATCTTCACAAATCTGAATATCTGAACTTTCTTGAAACTACGTGCTTTTCGATCAAAAACGTGCATTTATATCTGTAAAATCAATTGTGGTATATATTTAATGACAGTGTACTCTTTTCATGTGAGAATTTTTATTATAAAATATGAATTGAAATGACATTACTACTATTCTTTTAAATGTTAGCTATGTTATGAATTATGTTGGCTTGCGTGTGTATCTATGCTCTATATGCATGCAATGTTCAGAAGAAGGTGTCGGATACCCTGGAACTGGAGTTACTGGAGGTTGTGAACTGCTGTGTGGGTGCTGGGAATTGAACCATGATCCCGTGGAGAGGAGCTGGTGTTCTCAACAATCAAGCCATCTCTCCAGCCCCACAACTACTATTTTTAAGTACCATATCTGTGCTTCAAAAATTTTTAATGATTTGCTTAGGAAATTGTAAAACAACACTGTGAACTATCACAACCATTAGTAACAGTACTTCCACTAGGAAACATAAGAGATTTTCTTCCCTAATTACTAAGGCTTATCCATATGATATCAACCAGACAACTGTCATATAGGACTAGAGGAGTCTGCTTCTCCTCTTTCAATGTCCACTGATGCTACACATGAAAAGAAATCAGGTAACAAAGGTGAAAATAATCAAATTGCTTAAAAGTTATCTTCTTAAGTTTTTAAAAATATTTTATTTTTATATTCTTAGGGTATCCAGAGACATGTATCAACATTAATAATAAGCCAAGCATCATGCAATTCCTAGTTGATTATCAATGTGGAGTAACACAGAACCTCTAAAACTATACTTAACATCTCTTTTCATTTTTCTTCATTTTCTTTATTCTCTCTCTCTCTCTCTCTCTCTCTCTCTCTCTCTCTCTCTCTCTCTCTCTCTCTCTCTCTCTCTCTCTCTGTGTGTGTGTGTGTGTCTGTGATATGTCATTTTGGGATTCAGGTCTGGTCATTGTTTTTTGTCAAGAATAATCTTCCTCTGCCCTTGGGTAACAAATAATACCTTATAGGGAGTGAGTTATTTATTGTCAAAACAAGCAAATATAATGAGACAGTATTTTGAAAAATAATTTGAAAAATCACCTTACATTTCTAAATGGCCCAAAGTTGGAACTACTAATCATTACATCAAGCTTCATTGTTCTTTCCCATTAGTTCATCTAAGAAAAAGGTGCTCAGAATAAGTTTCATTCAGAACATAAATTTTGAATAGATTATTTACACATTCCAAACACTGATATTTGTAGTCAGTATATGAGATTAATAATCCTGCCATTTGAGTAGGGTAAAATGACTGAACGCTTATGAAGCCTAAAGAGATAGGTAATGTTTAAAGAAGTAAATAATAGAACAACAGGATTTATTTTACATTGTTAGAGCTAATAAAATAAGAATATCACCCAGAACATTATTAAATATTTGCTTTGCAATGCTCTGTTACTTCTCTTTTTCTTCTTCGTGCACATTACCTAGTGTACACTTGCCACTACAGGACAAATTTGACATGCTTTCAGATGAAAGAGCACATTTGCCTTAGAGATAAATTATATAATCATTAAACAACCACAGAACCCTGAGAAAAATCTGTTGCCAGCAAACTGAGTCTAAACATTGTAGCTCTTTTGCACTGGGTTTCAGGAAAGTTGGTGATGTGAATAATAATTTAAATGACTTGCAAAGAGTGTCTGGAGGAAAATAAAGAGGCTCATTTCCTCACGGATGCTGATGAGTCAAGTCATCCCCGAGGCAATGATATCAGTGTGTCACCTCTATGAATCTTCCGAAGTGACTTGGTATATATATATGTATATAAATATAGTAATCTTTCCTTATTGATTACACTAGGCTATATTAGAATCAGCATCTCTATTCAATTGTTTAGTCCAATGAAAAGTAATGGGAAATACTAAATATTGGATCTTTTTAAAGGCAAAAAAAATCACTCAAACATTGGCTACTTTAAAAAAAATCTCAATGGGAAAGTTAGTCTTCATCAGCTGCTTTCTTTATGAATAGTTTCAGTGTGTGGTGAATGATGGAATAATTAGGCCATCTACTGGTAAGTGGCAAACAGGCAATTTAATGTCTAAACTCAATAACAGATGCCCTTGATGGTACACAAAAGGCTGAGGAAGTTGATTGGAGGATAACATTGTTTTTCCTTGTCCTTAATTGTTGTGTTCTTTAATTTCTGAAGTCACTGGAACTTATTTCATATTTTTCAATAATGTTCATAAAGGTGGTGGTTACAATGTGAGTGTAA